TGGTGCTTTGCTTTCTGCACACGGGCAAAGGGGGCATTGCTGCCAGATGGGAAGTTGGAGTCGGAGCTCTCTTTGGGGCATGCTGAGCCATTTGGCTCTCATCCAAATGGGCAATTTCACAGGGTAGGGGGGGAGGAATAGAGGGGGGGGGAATAAGCTCGAAAACAAAGCAAAAGTTAAGCAAAGAAAGAGGCGGAAACTGGATCTGAAAACCATTTCACACGCAGCACTTCGTCAGCTCGGGTGCTTACGATACCCACTGCTGCGCCGCATGGGGTAATTAGCACTGCTATGTGTAGCGAGCCGTGGTGTATGTATGCACACAGCTCTCGTGGCTTCCTATGCGTGTTATATACTGGCTCAGAAAGAGCTTGAGGAGCACAGGGTGAAGCTGAACAAGTCAATATCAGAGGAGTCCCTTTAACACAGATTACTCTATATCCTCGCTGCCATGAAGACTGCACAACTGTATGCATACTGACTCCGCAGCCAAATTGAATTTCATGCTTTCTGCGGACACCTACTGTGTACTAAATCCACAGAGGGACAAAGTAGCCGAAAAGCTGTTGTTTAATGTATTGTGTGCAGCGAGAAATGCTGAATATATTCTTCCTTGGCCACGCGTACATCCCTTGTAGATATGGCGGACGCAGTGGTGGGATAGAAAATGAATTACAAATGAGTACATTACATCATACACAAATCTAAGCAAATGTGCATGTTATCTTCCTCGTCGTTAAGGAAAGGAGAATAATCTGCTGGCTTAATTGTCAGCTTAACACAGAGAGAGAGAGAGAGATACTGTACTTCCCATTTTTCCCAGGGAGAGGTGTGGAAGGAATCAAGAGGAACTGCACTGATCTATATGCATGCCTGGATCTGGCTTAATTGCGGCACCGGGGTGTGTTGGGATCAGGCGGTATGGACTAAAGTCTAGCATTGTGAAGCGCCCATCCTGATTATGTGCTGAAACGGGGCACAGGAGGAGTGCCATGCAGACAGGCAGGAAACCCAAAGTAAATTCTGCCTCTGTGGCTCGACGCAATCTCCAAACATTTCGAGAAAAATGTTAAAAAAAGAAAAGGGGAGAGAGAAATTTGGAGATGTGCATTATGCATTGTGGGCATAAATAATGCAGGGAGAAACTTCTTGCACTCGGAAAGGATCCCACACTTTCTCTTCCACCGTCAACAGCCCGATAGTTGCACAAAAACTACCGGACTTACCGGTCATTCGATAACATGGAACGACACAGAAATGCTGGACAGTAATTGCATCATTGTCTCGCTCCTGGCTGCTTATGAAGCACACTGATCACGCAATCGTTTCACTTCAGGGGAAACAAAACACCTTAGAGAACAGGTGGACCTGCTTTTTCTTGTGAGAGAAACAAAGGTGGGGGGGAAGGACTTAATCAAAACACAAGCTGGCCAATGAGATGACATTTCCTGTTCACCTCGCGTGTGATCCTTTCAGTCCATGTTATTTGCAACACAGGAACTGAAAAGAGCAATGTGTTGCCCATCATGAGTCATTCAGGGATAAAGGTGCTCTTAGGCCTCGCTCTCTTTGCAGGGGTGGTCGAAATGGAAGGCGTCCTACCGGTTTACTGGCTTAGGATGTCAGCGCGCCCTCTCTCAGGAGTCCTTTATCACAGCGTTCCAACTCCATAAAACACTGCACATTAAACTAAATCTGTCAGGTGTTCAATATGGACCACTGTTTGATCATCAATCATAAAAATAAATAAATAAATAAATAAACACCACTGCAAAGTCAACGGCATAAGAGCCAACTATAAATTTCTGCCAAACAACCTTCTGAACACCAGCGGTGATGTATGGGCTTCTACCATTTTACTGCTCCTGCTGAACCTTCTTTCAAAGACGTAACAAAAAGACTTCAAGACACGTGACTTCTGTTTTACACCAAGCTTAATTTGGTTCGTCTGTGAGACGTCGGACAAAGAAATTGCCTGAAGCGAGAGTGCAGGATAGATGCAGGATAAATTACAATGCCCACAGGAAACAGGAATAAAGTAGGCAGATCGATGCCAGAGAAGAAACCTCAGGCAAAATACAATAAAGTGGGATATAGCAGAAGCATCCCAGTGGCTTGGCCAGTTTGTTACCCTTCCCTTTTTGTATGTTTTGGCAATCTCCTCTGCAAGAAAACAAAAAGGAAACCCCAAACCCTAAATGTGCTACAATAAACCGTATGCTCAATGATATTCTATTATTAATTCATTTGATTCAATTCTAACAAATTACTTCTGATACCTTGGTTTGAAAAACAATTGTCAGTCACTGGCGGATCCTCATGCGTTTGTCTTTGTCCTTTGGCTGTGCTTTAGAGGACATACGTGTTGGATGTGATTTTTCCCATTGGCCATGGTATAACACTCGAGAAGATTTAGCTCCATCCGTGTTGGAAGAACAAGAATTTCATCTTGTTTTGGCGAAGTAAAGGAATCCAACAATTTCTTCCAGAATCCAACAAGATTAAAGACAAAGAAGAAACTGTCTACAGACTCAAAACGGCTTCGTGATCTGTCCTTTGCAGTCTTGTCTACAAGCAGTTAACAGGCATTTCCCATTTAGCAAACTATAAAATGAATGAGATGGACTGATACTGTATGATACAAAGCATGAGGAGACTTAGACAAACACAGGCAGTTCTTAACTGACATTTTTCATTTCCAAGCAATTTTATATTCTTTCCTTCAGTTGCTCAGTCTTTCTGATGTGGTAAAGGACAGCCTCCCCGGGTGTGTGCTTAAAATGCCCATCCCAGGTTCAGAGTTGTTTCCTTTCAGTTCCCATCACTGCTTTTTTACCTTCATTGCCCTTTTCTGACCTTTCTGAACGCCTTTCTTCTGCCAGAGAGACATTCATGTTTCATGCGGAACTAAATGAATGACATCTTTTTTCATTTTCTTTTCATACAGTTTCCTTACACCTCATTTTTGGGTGTGCACAAGTCTTGAGCCACTCCTTTTTGTGTTTTGTGTGGAAAATGGGAAATAGTTGGACATTTATTGAAACATTTAATTACAGTATACAAGGCAAAAACAGAGTTTGTACAATTCTAACAACCATGATATTTAATATTTAGTGTGACCACCTTTATTCTTCAGCACAGTCTGAACTCTCTTAGCACAGCTTTCTCATCATTTCTTTAAGTCGTTGTGGCGTGGGTGTGGTCTCTGGCCAGCTGCAGAGGAGGGGTGACACAGTGAGCTCCCGGGGCGGCGCAGGGGCGGGGTCGACAGGTGTGCTGGGTTCTGACACTGATTGTGTGTCTTTTTATGTTGACAGTGACAGTCGGAGGGAGAGCGGACGTGACAGCTGCAGAGAGCGGGAGTGGCTGTGAATAAACCCACATCTCTAAATAAAAAGTTTTGCTGTCGCAATAATCGCCCCAGCGTATGTTTATCGGGTCAAACGCTACAGTCGTCTTCAGGAATAGTTCTCCAGGCTTCTTGAAGGACATTCAAAGCTCTTCTTTGGATGTTTCTGCCTTTTGTTCTGTTCTCTGTCAACATGACCCCACACTGCTCTGTTCTGCACCCAGATTCATTGCAATTTCTGACATAATGTCAACATGTTGCCTGTTTTGATTGGCTGCAGGGCACCAGTTGAGTTGCCTTTCCCCCACTTCATATAAAGGAAAAATACTGATAATAGCGACTATATTGTGAAATAACACTTATTTGATATTTTGATATGTTAAAATAAAAACTGTCTGAATGGCTGTTTAAGATTTCATGAAATATGGACATTGCCTTCATTTCTTGGAACACTCTCTTTTCCTTCCTGACCTTCTCTCTGTGTACCATCTTCCCTGCAGTTCCCAAAAGTACAGCGTCAAATTATGCTGTAAAAGAGAACACATGACCCCCCCAGACTCTACTGCTTCCCCTAAGATCACATGTGACAGTTGTCTGTCAGCCAGCGTTCTTCCTGAGACATCTTGTGTTTCTTTCTGCAAGGGATGGCAATGCTGGAGCCAAGCTGGCAGATAAAGGTAGCATCTGACTCCTCGACATGCAGGGAAAAACTAACCTTTTAGCAGCCGCACTGCCATTAAATCTGTGAACATCACATGACTAATAGAAATAATGAGAAAATTGAGTGGCAGGGATGTAATTCGGTAAGACAGTGAAGCAGTTGCAGGAAAAACGTGATTTCAAAGCTTGTAATACAACATAGTCCTTGCTTCTGTTATTCTGAGTGCAGTTGGAAGGTCGCTCTACCACTGGGTCACATCAAAATGGCAAAGATTAGCTGATGCTGAGGTCGCGGCTCAAGGACCTTATGCACAGATAAATTTAGCGCAGACAAAAAGCTACCCTTTCCATACACAATCCACTTTAGCGTATCCACGCTGACATAACAAAAACAAGCGGGTGAAAAAAAAAGGAGCAGCTGTTGCATAAAACATGGCACAATCACTTCCAAAAACTTACTACATGAAAGAAGCCCATTTTGGAGTGTGTAAACAAAATGTAATTAACAGGAAAATAGGACTTTTCACAGACATTTGATCTCTCTATATGGCAACACTGAAGATTAATTTGCCAGCGCGGCAGATACGTAACTTCAAAAGTCGAACTTCGATTTGTGACTTAATTAAAAAGGCCCTATTAAAGCTGTATATGTGGGTGTTAAAAACAAGTCAAACCAAAGCATTCGTAGTGCCGAAAACGGCAACATGTTTTATAGGGCGCTGGAAAATATATGCATAATTCACAAAAAAGATGCTATTTATTTTATGAGAGAGTTTAAATTGCTAAGCATTTCACTTTTTTAAGAGTGAATTATCATAACTAAAATGATGAAAATATATTTATTTTGGTTGGGTTATTTATTTATTTATGAATGTATTTTGCCTAATTTGTAAGATAAGATAAGTGAGAAACGTGAAGAGGTTTTCACATGAACATACTGGTTATTGAGCGTATTGTTTAAAATACATTTCACTCATGACATAACTCTGACCTGTGAGGTTACGTAATCCCAGCTGCCGTAGTCCGTACAGACCGTCCCGTCTGTAGTTCAGGAAGATGGCTAGAGCGTACCGACCCTCGTAAAGTTTGGTGCCTCGGATGATCCGCAGGTTCTCCAGTGGCAGGTAGTCGAACTGATTAAGTGCCACCAGCACATAACCGGTCACTTCTTTGATAGACTGTATGGGAAGAAAAAAAAGATCCTTTTAAATGATTGAAAATGGAAGAACAATCGAATCAAATTAGCCAACATTAGCCTTTGTGTTAATCATAATCATGAATATTCTTAACTTTAACCAGTTGTTATAGATGTATAACCATATTGTCACCATAGCTAGGATATTTAACAATTTATTTATTTCGTTTTCAGGACCAGCTTCCAGTTTGAATTTAACCTTGCTAGTACCAGGCTGGATATCTTAGAGATGGCCGTGGTCAACAGCAATACTGAGGTAGGCAGGTGTGAGAAGTATCGCCCACACCATTACACCACCACCACCAGCCTGAACCGTTCAGGCTGGATGGATTAATGCTTTCATGTTGTTTATGCCAAATTCTGACCCCACCATTTGAATTTTGCAGCATTATTTGCAAATCATCAGAGCAGGTGAGCCTGTCTCAGTCTCCTGTTTCCAGCTGACAAGAGCAGCAACTACTGTGATCTTCTGTTGCTGTAGCCCATCTTGGTTGTAACAAGTAGTTATTCCAGTTACTGTTGGGTCTCTATCAGCTCAAAGTAGACAGAGAATTCTCTTCTGACTAGGCTGACAGCATGTGTCTCTTTATGAGGGACTGAACATCCTTTTTAATCCTTGTCCGAGGTTCCACATCTTGGTACAATGTCCCACATTCTAGTTGATTCTGCAGGACATGCAAGTTTGGCATTTACCTAATAGATACTTATTTTTTTAATCACAGTCAGAAGAAGATTAGCCTGTAACCTGAACATTACAGGATACTAAAAAGTCCCATCTTTCGCAGATTTTGTTGAATGTTATGGAAACGACCACGAAGAAAATGAATCGGCAGTAGATACAGAGAAACAGAGTTTGTGTCTTTTATTCAAGTTATTTTTTGTTATTTCTGAAATACTCAGACCAACAACAACAACTATGTCATGTTGAAAACACCTCAATCAGATTTCTTCCTCAGTGTTATGGTCAGTTTGGCCTTCAACAGGTCATCTTGATCACGTCTACATGCCTAAACATACTGAGTTGCTTTTATGTGATCGGGCGATTAGATGTTTGCTTTAGCGTAACACAGTAGCCAGTGAGCATAGTTGCCAAGACCAAATTAGGGAGTAATCCAACTGGTTTTGAAGAATCATCCAATGTGACGATAGATTGGATACCAATAAATAAATGACGCCCAAGTCCATAACTTAGAACAGATTTAAACCCCCACTGTTGTACGACTGGTTGTTAAAATGTAAATGGCCTGCATTTGTATAGCGCTTTACTTAGTCCCTAAGGACCCCAAAGCGCTTTACACTACATGCAGTCATTCACCCATTCACACACACATTCACACACTGGTGGTGGCAAGCTACATTGTAGCCACAGCTGCCCTGGGGCGCACTGACAGAGGCGAGGCTGCCGGACACTGGCGCCACCGGGCCCTCTGTAAGTGAATGGAAACTTACATTTTTACCTGCAATTCCTCTCTTCCAACGCCTGCTAGCTCTGTCGACTATAGTTAAAGCTGTATTGCATTCCTCTCATTTTCTGTGCAGAGTGCATGATATTTGCATTTTGAAATGTCAACCTCATAAAAAAATTTGGATGTACAGACCACAATGATTAAAATGTCAGGTTAGTTGCAGACTGATTGCACTTCTCTGATTATATTTCCTCAACTGTTCCTTTAGGGTTGGGAATCTGCAGTCGCACATCGCATTCATAGACCCAATAAGCAATCATATCTTTATATTCTTTATATTCTTTATATTCTTCTTATTCCAATATAAATGGTATCGGTTTGATTTATTTTCACAGGCTTCAGCAGTATATGCTGTTGAAGAAACTACAAAAGAAAAAAAGAGAAAAATAATCTGCCCGAGAGGGACTCATAAAATGTGAAAATAGAGAGCTTCAGCATGCTGAGTGCCTTGCTGAAGAGCATGGAAGACCTCAACCATCTGCCTCATTGTGCATCAATTGACCTTCTCAAAAGTCACAAAAAATCACACTGATTACCACTGCGTTATTCACTTGTCGGGGAAAATTTATTCATCTGCCAAGTTAGGCATAAGGGGCCAAGGCAGGCTCTTTGAATTTTTGAGTATTTTTCTTTTTTATGAATTCTCCACAAAAGCGTTTGTCCTCAACCCTGGGTCATCACTAAACAAATTAAGAAAAATAACTGAAAACTTGGGGTTAAATGTCAACAGTAGACTAGCACTTTATTGACACATCAACAGAAAAAGTCCTCATAAGAAGAAAACTGAGAAAACTGGGAGCCACATCAATCAGACAGACACCAAATTGCCACTTCATATAAAGTATTATTACCAGATATGCAGCTTTGTCTGTGTATGCGCATGTATGGTTGTGTATCTACGAGACAGCTTATTCTTGTTGCTTAAAATCCATTGCTGTGGCAGTGCATCAGTTATGTGAGTGACTCAAACAGCAGTGCAGGCTTCCTTATACTCACAGACAGAGAGAAAGAAAGATAATCACAAACATAATGTAGATACAACAGCTGCTAAATGGTGCACTAACACGTTTTACCAACCACCACTGACAAACTAATTGGAACCCACTACTTCTTAAAAGTGTGAGTGTGCACGTCTTTTTGTGAGTATTATCCTCTTGTTCTCCTTAGTTAAAAAACAGGATCAATTTTCCACAGATTCCAGTTTACTTGTACCGATGCCCCTTGCCTCAATACCGCCAGTGCCATTGGTCAACAGCACTTGCTAAAGTTAGCTTATAAACAAGTCCATGCAAGGATTAAAACAGATGGGTGTAGCTTTTGGGTATTAAAAGCCTGTGGCTGCACAATGACTTTTAATGGCATAGAAATCAAAGCGAGAATGCCCTTCGGCGTCCTTACCCTGTATCTGGACACAGCTTCCAGGCATGAAAACTGAACCAAACACTGAAGTGCCTTAGACCTGCAACCTCACTGCAATACTTTATTATCCATTATCCATCCATCTTCTTCCATGTATTTAACTCTGGGTCATGGGGGGGCCTATCCCAGGTGTGATAGGGCGAGGTGCAGGGTCGCACAGCTAACACAGAGAGACAGATAACCATTTGCACTCACATTGACACCTATGGGCAAGTTAGAATCACTAATTAACCTAACACACACTAATTGCATGTCTTTGGGCTGTGAAAGGAAGCCACAGCAGCCAGAGAGAACATTCAAACTCCACGCAAAAAGTCCCTGGCCTTTGAACCCAAGACCTTCTTGCTTTGAGGCAACAGTGTTAATCTACTTTCAAACAATGCTGTCTCTACTTTGTCAGCTATATTTAACTAATAACTGCCAGATTTCACTAATGGCACAGTGAAATTAGAGTAAAGTATAAAGTAGAATTGCAAAAAACATCCATCCATTCTCTTTCGCTTATCCTTTTTCAGGGTGGGAAGGAGGCTGGAGCCTATCTCAGCTGTCTTAGGGCGAGAGGCAGAGTACACCCTGGACAGGTCGCCAGTCTGTCACAGGGCTAACACATAGACACAGACAACCATTCACACTCACATTAACACCTATGGGCAATTTAGAGTTACCAATTAACCTAACCCCACTAACTGCATGTCTCTGAACTGTGGGAGGAAGCCGGAGTACCCTGAGAGAACCCACGCAAACACGGTGAGAACATGCAAACTCCACACAGAAAGACCCCGGACTGATGGGCGGTAGGACAGACTACAAGTACTTGCAGCAGGATTGCACAGGTCACCTGGATAGGAGAAACCTGCTTCCAATCACAGTCAGACAGTCTGTACTGAACAGAGAATACAATTCAACCCTGGTTACATGCCAGTTTAAAAATAAGGTTTCAAGCTTTGCCGTTAAATTGCTGTTATGCAACAACTACTTCACCATTTATAAAAGAATTTCTGAATTTTCATCCATCCATTAATTCACCTTCTCCTGCTTATCTAGTTCAGGGTGATAGTGGAGCTACAACTGATCTTAGCTTTCATAAGGCAAAAGGCAGGGTACACTCTGGACAGGTCAGCAGTCTCTTGCAGGAGTTTCTGTTTTTGTAGATGACAGGAGATTTCCAACTGACAGTAACAAATTTGCAGTTTTTGCCCATTTATCACAATTCGTTTCTCAATTATCAAAGACAGGCTGCATGTAATCACCAGCTTGACCCAAATCAACTATGAACTGACAGCAGACTGACTATCACCGTCTACTTTGCACAAAAAAGTTTCTTTGAAGATGGCAGTTGACAGCGAGTAGCTGCAGTTCTTATCACCATCCTCAAAGTAACCATTTAAAAAGCAACAAGATGAAAGGTTAATTGTGCACGGTTGCAATAATTTTGGTTGCGTCATGGTCTCCAAGTTCTCTCTAGTGCGACTGTCGTGTTAGCGACAGCTAGCTTGCTGTGTTTTGCCCAAAGCTATCTTACAAACTGCCTAGGTTGCTGACTGCAGTCACCAAATGTCTGAATACCAATAAGAGCATTAGATGATAGAAATTGGTTATGTCAACGTGTGTTTCTTTAGTGTACGGGGCATCAAGGTCGCTAAACAAATGTGCCTTCTGGAGAGAGTTGCTGTGCACCTCCTCGATTAAGATAAGTTAAGGATTTAATACAGGCACAGGCCTTTCACGTTCTCTGATTTGGTTTATATTTGAGTCTTGCATTTGAACTGAAAGCAGCAATTATTTCAACTTGTAGCCGAGGTGAGCCCTTTGAATTTTTGACTGTCTTTATTTTAATTCACCAGAAAAGCCTCTGTGTTCAGCCCTGGAAATAAATTCATGGCATTCGTTTGCCATATCCTGGAGAAATCTTCATTAAATAGTAAACTCTCATTTAAAGGCATTTGAAATATCCAGCGACAGGGCAGCTACTGAGACATCCTAATGACCAGAGACAGGCCAATAATGATGTGGATGATTGGTTGGGAGGGGAGAGAGGAAATGAGTAATGTGAGGTTTGATTGGCTGCTGACCCCTGGGGGACATTAGCAGAGAGTGA